GGAAAATAATAAAGTTAAACTGAATCGACCATTGTAAATATGGCTTTAAAGGAGTTAATGCAAAAACTTATTGTATGTCTGAGGCTCAGAATAGAATGGAAAAAAGAAAACTAAAATATATGGAAATGTACCAAGTACATGAACGTTGGGAATTATGATAACTACTATAGCAGAGGGCTCCAGACAAAGCGCGTCCAACTAAGTCGCCCTGACAACAAAACAAAGTAGCGAAAACGAGATCAATTCACTTCTCCAACAAGTCACCTATTTTCAGGATTTCATAACACGATATGGTATTTAAATGAGAAATAAAATTCCATTTTTAAGATCACTTACTTCAGTTCTTTATGGCATATGTCGTAAATGTGGACAGAACAAAGGGAAATTTTTTCATGCAATAACAACTTACAAATGATGACGATACCATGAGCAAAATAGATCGATACAGTGGTGGAATAGCGTTTATTGCAAGGCACGTGAAAACTAGGATCTGGGCGATTAGTAGTAGTAATTTTGCGAACTTATGGCGAAAGAAGTTCCGTAAAAAAAATGTAATTTGTACTTCGCTCTTCTTCAAATTACGACCCAAGAACTAAGTTACAAGCGTATCTTTAAAGAAGGATATCAAATCTTTTCACTTTTATCTTAATATATTAACTTCCCCTTGAATAATTCTAGATCACTCAACTTTTGGATAAAAGTGTACAAATAAGAAGCACATCCGGCGCAGCTGTTCTGTCTTTAAATTAGCATAGAAAGTGAGTAATGACTAGACATTTTAGAGGGATTTCTGCTAATCCACCCTGCCTAGGCTATTTGCGTCTTTGTACATTCGCTGACTCATTTAATCCGACAAAATTCAGCGAAAATAAATAGACAATCCGAATCGGATTAGGTGTCCAGCCCATCAGAACTTGATCATTTGAGTCCCAAAATGGCAGTAGTAGATAAGGTTCATTGCCGAATTTGCATTTATCGATGACAGAGAAATAGCTTATTGTTGTAGATTGAGTTCCTATGGTGTATTACTAGCGTGCATAAATTACGAAAGCATAAGAGTCAAAAATGCCTCTGGTTTATTTGATGAGAAAATAGGACAGATACATGGTAAGCATAATCTGACCTGAAGATCCGCTATGCCGCATTCTTTCTATTTCCTCTGTCTTTAGAGGTGTCTGTGATAATCTATCCAAAATTTTTTTGTTTATAAGCAGAGTTTCGAGACTACCAGTAAATCAGTTATATTAGATGTATTCAGCCTATTTAGTTTAATGTGATGAAGGAGTGGTAGTTGATCAATTGGTAGTATCGAAATTCTGCTTAGAAACGAAAAATAAGTAATGTAGTCGATTGTTATAACAAATATTACTTTACTTCATCGAAAATCCCACCAAAGAATGTGGTATTGGAAAATGCCATGCCTTACTTGAAATTCACATTTGCTCTGTGACCCAAGGTCACTCTTGGCGGAGTGATTAATGTGTCGAGCTTACATGCGGGACTAGCATTGTTCGAGTCTCACTAGGGGTGTTGATAAGACCTATGCGGAGTCGAAACTGCAGTCCGCCCTGGATGAGAACAACTTTTGGGAAACCAAATATATGTGAAATTCACTGGAAGCGTCAGCTCTACTCATATCATTGTGGGAAAATTCAACTACCAGCCCATCATAACCTTAAAGGAAATTGGGTGAATACGTCTCATAGTAGCCAAAAATTACCATTTTTAACTAATGTAAGGTTATTTCAGCATTCTTATTATATTCAAGCTCAAAATATTATCATAATAAAGTCGGTTAAAAGTAGTAAAACCAAACCTGTCCAGGGCGGCGCGTCCATATCCTGGCAGGACCGCCTGAACTGCTGGTGGTTGCCGAACCACTGCTGGGCCCAGAGGAGACGGATGAAGTGCCAGCCCCCGTTGCCGTGATCGCGCGACCCGATCGCCAAGAACCGGTAACCTCGTGATAGACATTGGCCCCAGCTGGGCTACTCGAGATGGAAATGGGGAAGCCAAAAACTGGAACAGAAAGATATTGAAGACCGACGGGGCAGTTGGTCGCCTGATCCAGGCCATGCACTAGCCTATTTTGTAAATAAAATGAGATATCAAAAAAATAAAAGCCATAAACAAAAAGTAAAAAACATGAAAACAGGGTATAAGCAGGGTCTATTATATGACCAAAGTCCTTTGGTTATCTTGGAAAGTACAAATCGTAATGAGGCCACAGTCGAAGAGAGTCGCTAAATAAAATTGATGGGAAAATGTCTTCTAGTTTAGTTATAACCGATGCCTGGAGTTATGGTATATAACAAAGAGATGTAATTGATTTTACGAAAACCGATTTTTTGTAATTAGCCTGATTACTGTCAACTAACCTATCATCAGAATCTAACAGAATCGGAGGCAAACAGAAAAAGGATAGAAGGGAAATCATGTTAAATAATGCAGGATAAAAGAGCATTTTGGGAAATATCTCTAACTCACTAACATATTAAAATATGTGATAAAAGATGGAGCAGGTTAAAGGGAAGAGCAATTCTGAAAAAACTAGCTGAAAATAAACAACTTTTTTGATCAATTTAAGATCAAATTCTTGGCTCTCTTCAATGACAGGCTATTGTTAAAAAAAACACAAATTTGACTTGATTCAGTCCGGGAAGTAGAGGCATGAGACTCATGTCTAGTTCGTCAAAAATTGTTACCTCGTGTATTTTAAAACCTTTCCTCATAATTTCACTTTTTAGCACATATTCTGCAGTCCTCTATCTCACAAGCATTCCAAAATAAGTCATTGATATTTGCCTTAGTAGTGATAGGTAATTAGCTAACAAAGTAAAATGTTTAGAAATTTATAAGTACCTCAAAAGTAAGGTTTAATAAAAGCACCATGATTAACCTCAATTCAACAATGGGGACTTTTGTCAAGGTACATTGTTTAGGTGGTCATTTGAAGCAAAAAGAGCATAAGCTTGCGCTATTGTGGCACACAGATAAGTCAAAGACAGATAAAGATGAAGGTGGGAACCCCTAAGACACTTTTAAATATGAAATCATGCTATATTTCTTATTTGTCATTATCAATTCCACGCCCGGCACAAAATAAGTGGCAACTATGATGGATGGATTACTGAGGAAAAAAATAATGGCAAAAAGAAAATATCCATATGACATTTTTTCATAAATATTGCATTAATTAATGACTGAGATATCAGAATCTAGCATACTTAAATGCTGGGCATATAAACCTTACAACACAATAAAAGAATCTTCTGAAGAGACTTGGGTCTGCATAAAGAACGTTTGTGATTAAACAGAGTGGCCAGAAAAGGACGAGATAAAATATCCGCTCGAATAAATTCAGTTAGTAATCTGTAGATCAGATCAGGTCAGATCGTATGATATAGAAATTCTTGAAGAGGAGAAATGCTAACCAGCTGCTGGAGCAGATCAGTTATTAAAGTGGATAATACCACGATAACAGACACTTGAGTCAAATGGCAAACATGAAAGATAGGAACAGGAAGATGGTTCGCAAAAAGTTGTATAGGGAATTACAAATATCAAAAGTTATGCTAGTTCGATGAGCTAGCTATAATTCAAGAGTGGAATTTTAAAAAAATTTACCATGAAACAAAGCTACCATCGTGCTGGCTCACAGTAAAGACGACATCTGGAGCTCGACTCCAATCACCCATTAGTCGAGAAAGTGTCTGGTCAAACAATGAAATGTCGGCGAGAAGAGAAGCTGGCAACCGGCTGGCTAAAGGGACTGGTGAGACAGAACTCTGAATAGCAGTAGTTTCGCCACAAGAGAAGAATTCTAAGAATTACATACAAATAAACAAAATAAAGAGGAATGTATTTATGCAAAAAAGATATGGGAGAATGTTCAGAAAAAATAAAGCGAAAAATATATGAAGAAAAAGAGGGTTTCGAAGAATTCCTTAGTGTTATATCGGGTCATGACTTTCCATTTCGAAGGAAAAGTTGGTTGGAAGGAATTTGTGATAAGGTCACACCGAAAACGGAAGAAACATTACCGTGTAGGAAAGACAGCTGTATTGTACGCAAAGGTCCTCGGCTTACCGTTCTGTGACTCCAATGAACCTAGTTAAGCTTTCGTCTGTACTGTGACAGACATCA